GGTCTCCGGACAGGCGGTCCCCAAGGCGCCGCGCGGGGCCGGCCGAGCAGCCCCACGCAGCTGCCCTGGCCGCCGCGAGCCCAGCTGGACCGCGCAGCGGACAGCGGACCGTGGGCGTGTGGGGCCTCTGTGGCCCAGGAAGTTTTACCTCGCGCTCAACAGAATCACCAACTGTGTTGCTTGATCCAGATTTTCATGAGGTGTGTTCTGTTGGCAAAAAGAATAAAAAGATTAAAAAGTAAAATGAGCTAGATTCTGAGTGTCCAATATGTGCATTTTCATGAAAATACGCTTTGTAAAGCTGTAATACATTATACTTCTCACTTGTCTTCAAACGTTATCCCCAAGAGGCAAAATATGGATTGTAATGACACATTTATAAATCAAAGGTAATGTTTTTTGATAAGTGTTATTTTTAAAAATATTTTCAAAAATGATTCACAATTTTCCTTTTTATTTTTCTAAGATTTCTTTGTTTATGCATACAAGAGCTGGGGTGCAGGTGTGGATGGGGTGAGGTGAGAGGACTCCCCAGAGACAGTGGGGAGCAGAACAGGCAGACTGAGGAAGTCCACTGCTGAGGGGGCAGCTGAGGAGGCAGTGGGGAGACAGGAGGGGTCTGCTGTGCCCTGGGGTCCCTCCATGGGCCGCAGGGGCCATGGATTCTTGCATAGTGCTGAGACTTAACCCCTGGCACCACCAGGGAGGCCCATACAAGTTTATTTTCTAATGTTCACCTAGTTGTAAATGTAAAGAATTAACACCACCATTCCATCTCATGATACCACATCTACTTTTTGTCAAATGAGTCACCCAAATGAAGCTTTGATATTTACCTATACTAAAAGTTAGGAATTCAGAAGTTCAGTATTATATTATGAGATTATTTGTGTTATATATCAATGTGGATGGGGTACTATCTACTTGAAAATGTACCTGTGTATAGGAGATAAAATAGGATGAATATGACTGGCATTATAAATTCTGCAGGTATACTATATTAACTGCAACAATTCACCAGTAATTAAGTGCCTGGGCCTTTCTTCAGAGTGTTCCACACATAGTCACGTGCGATCCGATGGATTGAAACTGCTGTGGTTTCGTCACCAACGAACTAGAATTGACAATTATTATTTCAAATGCATTGGTAGTAGAGGAAAAGATCTGGTCTGCAGTTGGCCTGAGAACCTAGAATCTCCTTGGGGCCAGCAGGGGGCACACAAGCTTTGCTGGGGCCATAGGCAGAGAGACCATAGGCAGGGCCCCAGGCGACCGGTCTGCAAACTTTTTAAATTAGAAAATCTTCTACAGTTATATAAAAATCGGCTCATTAAACCTGTATATTATAAGAGGTGATAAAATAATGCCTTTAAGTGCTATTTAGAGAAGGACAGGATTGGAAACTGTTTAGCTTTTCGTAGGGAATGAGACTCATTCATCTGCTTCACAAATAAACTGCGTTGCGTGGGAGGTAGACGGAATCCCTGTCACTCCCCCTTCCCACCTCATTCTAAATTAATTTCCATCAGATATTTGCTACTGGGAAGATTTCCATGTTGATTGAGCAACATACTGGCAAAGAGAAATTAATAGAAATAAAATGGCCAGGAAATTATCCGAAGACCCGGGGAAAGTTTGGTGGGCGTCAGACTTGGCTTTAGGGCAGCTGTGTTTGGAGAACGTGGAGTAGAGTTTAGAGGTGTAAACTCAAGAGAAGAGCACTTTCTTGTGAGATGATATTACATGGATAGGAAATAGAAAAAAATGGAAAATTTTGCCTTGTGTTAAACTTGGAATCTCTCTTTGGGACTCTTACAAGGTTTCTATGAATATTTTAGTTTATTTTCTGTTGTTTGGAAGTCAGACTAATATTTCTTGTACTATAACTTTGCAGTAGCTAGTTTCAAGACTCTGTAGGCCAGTTTAGTTTTAAGTACTGTAAACAAAGAGATAAAAATATCACCGTTTCCTAATAATATGACGACACACATAGAAGCCAAGAACTTTATTATTAAAAACAACTGCATGTATCGGAGCCCTCCCTGGGGGCGCAGGGGTTGGAGCCCAGCACTGTGAAGCTGTCTGCAGCCACCGCAGCATACATCCGATCCCCGATCCCCGGCCAGGGAGGCCCCCAGGGCGCAGCAGACCTCTCCTGTCTCCCGGCTGCTCCCCTCAGCAACGGGTTTCAGTGGATCCCCTTCACACACCCCCACATCCTGAGTGTTTCAGATCTGTTGTCCATTTTTTTTAAAAAGATGTATTTATTTATGCATACTGAAAGGGGGCGCAGGCCAGAGGTGTGGGGGTGAGAGGGCTCCCCAGAGGCAGCGTGGGGAGCAGGAAGGCGGATCCACTGACACCCACTGACACCCACTGCTGACCCCAGAGGCAGCGTGGGGAGCAGGAAGGCGGATCCACTGACACCCACTGACACCCACTGCTGAGGAGGCAGCGGGAGACCGGAGGGGACTGCTGCGCCCTGGGGCCCCTCCCTGGCCGGGGAGTGAACTTGAGCCGCAGGGGCCAGGGCAGCTTTAAGCCGCTGCGCCACCGGGTAGGACTGTGGTCCACTTCGAAGGCTTTTATGATTGTTTACAGCACTTGCAGTCGCTATAGATTTGTCATTTTTCATCAAATTTATAAAAATATTTTTTTTCTGCCTGCCCTTTTCCTTTGGGGCCTCTGATTATAAATACACTAGTCCATCTGACGTTGTCTCATAGATTACTGATGTTTTATTCATTAAAAAGAAAAACGACCTTTTTTTCTCGGGTGTTTATTTTCAATAGTAAATTAAAAAATGACAAAGAAATTGGAAGAAAACTGTACCAATTCTCATTGTAATCAAAATGCTAAAGAAATTATATAATAAGTTACAGAGAAAGCAGAAAGGAGTGGCACCAGGCAGGACTTGTTATAATTTCAGAAAAAAACTGGAGAAGTCAGCAGGTATAACTATTTATAAAACACAAATTCAGTGTTTGCACTGAATCTTCCTGGTATCTTCCGCTTTTTAAAATAAAACATCGATTAAACAAAACCTAGAAGGCAAACAACAGCGTGAAGAAAACAAATGGAGAAGATGAACTAGAGAATGATTCGCACATACAGAGTCCTACTAGTCCAGTTAAGGGCAAACGTTCGGCGTTGTTAGAAAGCAAACAAATTTAGGTTCCAGTAAGGACCCTTATCCTTACAAATTAGCAACATTTCAAAATTAATGTTTATTCCCAGCCAAAGATGACTTGATGCATACTGTGTGCATTGCCGATGATTCCAGAAAGTGGAAGCACCCTCTCCGCTAGCAGCCTGTTGGAGGGCTGTGCAGGAGCTCAGAATATGCTCGTGCTCGTTGACTAACTCCATTTCTGCACGTCTGTGACAAGCCCACATTCCTCTGCCATGAGCAGATTGCTAGCACTTTATTGTGGGGGGTGACGGAATTTAACAGTTACAGTTATATATAGGTAAATACAAATACCATTGCTATAAGTACATATCTGCGTAGAAACAGTTGAAAACTATAGTTTGCTGGTTTCTAACAAAATAGTCACAGATCTTTTCTCATGGATGCATTTCAATCATTTTAAATAACATTTTCCACTTTAAATAAATCTCTATAATTTACATGTTGTTAGCATGTTTCACCATGAGTTAATGCCACATAGTTGACTAGAGGCCATCTATGAACAATTATTTAAACACTAATGCAAATTTTAGATCTTGCTACTTTAGAGTTGTTTTTTTCCCCTGTGTATCGGAACAAGGAGCACATTGTAGAGACATTCAACTCAAGGCATCAGTTTTCTATGAGCAGAATAATGGACTGACTTTAGTATACATACTTA